CTGACAAATACTGGAGAAGATTATAGTAAAATTAAGCTTTAAAATGTATTCATTATGTTTGGCAATTTAAGGTAATTAGCAAGAGCAATATCTGAGGTTGATACAAAAATGAATAACAAGTCTTTTGGAATCTAAGAATGGAAAGTAAAATAGAGAGGTTACTTCACAAATTCTCGTGAAGCAAGAGATAGATGGGAAAATTTCTGGAAAGCATAAGGAGTAGAGAAATGTGGGGAGACTTCAGACTCTTCCTATAATGAGAGGCACTATCTTTAGAACAGATGAATGAAGGACTAAGGAGGCTGGAATGGAAACCTCTCTATTTGGCAGACTGCTCCTGGGATGAGTGATGAATGGGTATACTCTGGAAAATTAAGAGCTAACCCCCAAAAGCACTTAGGTCCTATTCCCAATACAATGTAAAAAACAGTAGGCCCTTAGGGATATTTAGAATAGGACAGGGAGGGTCAAATGAGCATCACAACAGCACCAAATGTCTATACTAAAACCCAGACCCTAGGATGTCGAGCAAAGAAAATAAAAGGCTGAACACACAGAACTGTGGCCAAGAAAGCAAATGAAATTATAGAAGACATTGTGAGCCTGAGAACCTCTCAGTATTTCCTCCTGAAGTAGTAAGTAAAACATTAAGTGAGCTGCATCTGGAAAAGTGAAGGAATAATTTGGCCCTTGCCCTGTAATTCTGTTGTGATCTCTCATTTTACTTTGGGTCTCTATGGGAAACTTTAAGCAAAGTCAAGGGTATAATTCTTCACCTTCAGTTCCTTTCTCTCAAGTTTTCCCTTTTGAGGTAACTAAGGTCGGCAAGAAGGAAACAGGAAGAAATGAGGCTAAATTCTGAGATGATCCATGAATAAATGATAAACCAAGAATTACAGAATAATAAATTCTGTATCCAAGATTCCCAGAACAAAAAGTAACAAAATTTTTATACTCTGTTCTTACTTATACAAGGGGCTTCAAAAGGTTTATGGAATTAAAAGATGTTTATTTTTGTGTGAAAAAATTTGAAATCCACAGTTTTTTCATACACTTTTCCAAGATTCTTCATATACAGAAACCTAAAAAGTTGATTTCATAGAAATAGAGAGTAGTGGTCACTGGAGGTGAGGAAAAGACTGTAGAAAGGTCAGATGATGGAATAAGTTCTAGTGTTCTACAACATAGTAGGGGGACTATTGTTTTAACATGTTACAAATGCTTTTAAAGAACTAGAAGATTTTGATGAGAATAAATTCCTTAACTGATCAAAATGAAAGAAAACTAAATTACTGTTTTTGTCTTCTAAATACTGTAGAAAAAGAAAGAACTAGAAGAGAGGAAATAATAGGTCCCCAAAGCAAACAAATGTGAAATGGACACTATGAGAAACAGTGACTTGATCAGCCCTTGCCCTGACTGTTAATGTACAATTTAATACTTTATCCCTTTTAGGTTTTTTTTTTTTTGTTCTAGTTAATACTATTGATTGAACTCTGTAATTAACACACAATTATTCTTAGGTAAATGTTATAGAGATGGAAATGCTAATTATTTAGATTTGATCATTACACCTTGTATATATGTATGAAATTATCACACTGCACCCCAAAAGTATGTACAACTAGTATGTGTCATTTAAAATTTTTAAGTAACTCCAAATAAAAGACTAGTTTATTATATATGATAAAAGTCATACAGCTATAAAAACCAGATTCCATATTAATATAAATTCTAGCTGAATTTCCATTCAATTCTATGAAAAAGTTGAAGATATTTGATGGAATTATTTTACCTTAGTCATAAATGTCAAACATTTCATGGAGGCATACAACAAAAATTAAAATGTTAATGTTTATAAAGAGAAAAAATATCATTGAAACAGTTTTTTGTTTACGTAGAAAAAAAGTTCAGTATCAATATGAAAATTTTAAGAACTGATAATAGCTTTAGCAAAATAGATGTCATAAAAGACAAAATAACAAAACAAATATAATTGCAATACATACAAAAATGTAATACATTTACCTGCAGTAGTTAATTGGTTGTTTTTTTTAAACTTTTATTTAGTAAATATAAATTTCCAAAGTACAGTTTATGGATTACAATGGCTTTTACCCCCCCATAACTTCCCTCCCACCCACAACCCTCCCATCTCCCACTCCCTCTCCCCTTCAATTCACATCAAGATTCATTTTCAATTATCTTTACATACAGAAGATCAATTCAGTATATATTAAGTAAAGATTTCATCAGTTTGCACCCACACAAAACATAAAGTGTAAATACTGTTTCAGTACTAGTTATAGCATTAATTCACATTGAACAACACATTAAGGACAAAGATCCTACATGAGGAGTAAGTACACAGTGACTCCTGTTGTTGACTTAACAAATTGACACTCTTGTTTACGGCGTCAGTAATCACCCTAGGCTCTAGTGATGAGTTGCCAAGGCTATGGAAGGAAGCCTTTTGAGTTCGCCGACTTCGATCTTTCGACAAGGCTATAGTCAAAGTTCTCTCCTCCCTTCAGAGAAAGGTACCTCCTTCTTTGATGACCCGTTCTTTCCACTGGGATCTCACTTGCAGAGATCTTTCATTTAGGTCTTTTTGTTGCCACAGCATCTTGACTTTCCATGCCTAAAATAATCTCATGGGCTCTTCAGCCAGATCCGAATGCTTTAAGGGCTGATTCTGAGGCCAGAGTGCTATTTAGGACATCTGCCATTCTTTGAGTCTAATGTGCATCCCACTTCCCATGTTGGATCGTTCTCTCCCTTTTTTATTCTATCAGTTAGTATTTGCAGACACTAGTCTTCTTTATGTGATCCCTTTGACTCTTAGACCTATCAGTACAATCAACTGTGAACTGAAATTGATCACTTGGACTAGTGAGATGGCATTGGTACATGCAACCTTGATGGGATTGTATTGGAATCCCCTGGCACATTTCTAACTCCACCATTAGGGGCAAGCCCAATTTTGAGCATGTCCCAAATTGTACATCTCCTCCCTCTCTTATTCCCACTCTTATATTTAACAGGGATTACTTTTTAGTTAAATTTAAACACCTAAGAATAATTGTGTGTTAATTACAGAGTTCAACCAATAGTATTAACTAGAACAAAAAAAAAAAACTACTAAAAGGGATAAAGTATTAAATTGTACATCAACAGTCAGGGCAAGGGCTGATCAAGTCACTGTTTCTCATAGTGTCCATTTCACTTCAACAGGTTTCTTTTTTGGTGCTTGGTTAGTTGTCACCGATCAGGGAGAACATATGATATTTGTCCCTTTGGGACTCGCTTAATTCACTCAGCATGATGTTTTCCAGATTCCTCCATTTTGTTGCAAATGACTGGATTTCATTGTTTTTGACTGCTGTATAGTATTCTATAGAGTACATGTCCCATAATTTCTTTATCCAGTCTACTCTCGTGGGCTTTTTAGCCAGATCTAAATGCCTTAAGGGCTGATTGTGAGGCCAAAGTGCTGCTTAGGGCATTTGCCATTCTATGAGTCTGCTGTGTATCCTGCTTCTCTCCTTTTTATCAATTATTATTTGCAGACACGGGTCTTATTTATGTAATCCATTTGACACTTAATCCTATCTTTTTGATCAATTATGAACTTAAACTGATCACCTTAACAAGTAAGATAGCATTGGTACATGCCACCTTGATGGGATTGAATTGGAATCCCCTGGCATGTTTTTAGCTCTACCATTAGGGGTAAGTCCGAGTGAGCATGTGCCAAAATGTACATCTCCTCCCTCTCTTATTACCACTCTTATATTTAACAGGGATCACTTTTAAGTTAATTTTAAATGCCCAAGAATAATTGTGTGTTAATTAAAGAGTTCAACCAATGGTATTAAGTAGAACAAAAAAATACTAAAAGAAATAAAATAGTAAGCTGTTCCTTGACAGTCAGGACAAGGGCTGATCAAGACATTGTTTAAATAATATTCTTTTTTATGATTTATTTATTTATTTAAGAGGCAGAGTTGCAGATGGAGGGAGAAAGGGAGAGACAGTGAGGTCTTCCATGGGCTGGTTCATTCCCCAAATGGCTGCAATGACCAGAGCTGCGTCAATCTGATGCAAGAAGCCAGGAGCTTCATCTGGGTCTCCCTCACAGGTGCAGGGGCCCAAGCATCTGTGCCAACCTCTGCTGCTTTCCCAGACCAGTAGTAAGGAGCTGGATTGGAAGTGGAGCAGCCAGAATTCAAACCCATTTCCTTATGCGATGCTGTTGCTGCAGGTGGAGGCTTAATCTACTGTGTCATAGCGTTGGCCCCATAAATGATATTCTTAAAGGGCAATGACCTATCAATGACAATTTGATGGTGAGACCACTAGAATTAAATGCTAAAGATTAAAATTTTTGCTGTAGTTTAGTAACTTATTAGTGTTTTCAATATGATTGATAACTAAACAACTCATTCAATCTCTGCTTCTTCATTATATGAATAACAATGTCATATGGTGAAGATTAAATGAAGTGGTTTGTGACATAAACGATTTTCCAACCACAAGACACTGTTTAGAACAGCAGGAAACAGATGATTAGCCCAGCAGTTAAGATGCCTGCATTCCACGTTGGAGTACCTGGGATATATACACAGCTCTGGCTCTTGACTCAAGCTTCTTGCTAATGCAGATCCCAGGAGGCAGTAGCAATGGCTCAAATAATTGGATTCCTGCCACCTATGTAGAAGACTTGGATTGCATTCAGGCTTCCTGGCTTTGATCCTAGCCCCAGTTGTTGTGAATACTTACAGAGTTAACCAGTGGATGGGAGCTCTCTCTCTGGCTCTCTTTCTCTCTCTTTCTGTATGTGTGTGTATGTGTGCACAGGTGTATATGCATGCACACATGGATATGTGTTTCTGTCTACTGGCCTCTCAAATAAATGAAATTTAAATACATACATACATACATACATAAAAGAACAGCAGAATCAAGTTTTCATTATGGTTATTCATTTTCTTCCTGAAGATCCTCAAGAATGAAGACAACTCCTCTGTCTCCAACTTTGCCTGTTGAAAATTTGGGTTGTTTATATAAATGTACATGTTTTCTGCTTTGTGTCTATGTTTCCTATAGTAAAAACCCACTCAGAATGTCAGGAAAAAGTACAGATAGTAAATTTTTCACTTGTATACTAACAAAATTTTTATCTTAGAATGCATTTTGGCCCTTATATTCTTATTTGAACTTTCTCCAAGGATGTCAAAGAAGTTAAGAATGCATTAAGAACCAAGTTATTGTAGTAAGCCTCATTTCTCTGCACAAATTTTAACTCTCACATGAGCCAACCACACCTGTTCTGTTTCCTCTTAATTCACAGGCAAAAACTGAGAACAAGACATCCCATGATATGGACATCTCCCTGAATACAACCAATAGCTCAGGATTTCAAGTGTCTGAGTTCATCCTGATGGGGCTCCCAGGCATTCATGAGTGGCAGCACTGGCTCTCTTTGCCTCTGGCTCTGCTTTATTTCTTCGCTCTTAGTGCCAATCTCCTTGTCTTAATCACTGTCTATCATGAGCCAACCCTGCACCAGCCCATGTATCAGTTCCTTGGTATCCTGGCTGTAGTGGACATTGGACTGGCTACCACCAGTATGCCCAAGATCTTAGCCATTTTCTGGTTTGATGCCAAGACCATTAGCCTCCCTGAGTGTTTTGCACAGATCCATGCCATCAACACTTTGATGTGCATGGAGTCAGGCATCTTCATCAGTATGGCAGTGGATAGATATGTAGCTATTTGTTACCCCCTTCAATATCCCTCTATAGTCACTGAAGCTTTTGTGATCAAAGCCACAATATTTATGGTGCTCAGGAATAGCTTGTTGACCATTCCAGTGCCTATACTGGCTGCCCAGAGACACTACTGCTCCAGGAATGAGATTGACCACTGCCTGTGCTCCAACTTGGGAGTCATCAGTCTAGCTTGTGATGACATCACCATTAACAGATTTTATCAGTTGGCCTTGGCCTGGATTGTGATTGGGAGTGACATGGGTCTGGTATTTGCTTCCTATGCTATTCACTCAGTGCTGAGGCTGAGCTCTGCAGAAGCAACAGCTAAGGCCCTGAGCACCTGCAGTTCCCACCTCATCCTCATTCTCTTTTTCTACACAGCTATTGTTGTGGTATCCACGACTCACCTTGCAGGAAGAAGAGTTCCTCTCATACCTGTTCTTCTCAACATGCTGCATATTGTCATCCCTCCGGCTCTTAACCCCCTGGTATATGCACTTAGGTCACAGGAGCTGAGAGTGGGCTTCCAGAAGTTGCTTGGTTTGGATGAACTTGTATTCAGGAAGTGACTCAACTTTAAGTGACAGAATATTATATACAGTGTTTGCACAGACTTTGGAGCCCAATATATAGAATTCCATTTATCCCAATTGCCAGGAACATCAGTTCAAATTAATTCATCATTTTATATAACATATAGTATGTGGAAGGCAATGCTCTAAGCATTTCAAATACTAACTCTTTTAATTCCTATATATAGCATTCCCAACAATGCCATGAAGCAAGTAAAATTGTTATCTATACATTTGCAAATGAGACAACTAGGTTGGGAAACTCATCCAAGGGCAAATAGAAAGGAAGTTGCAGAGTAAGATTTGAGTTACAGAGTGAGAGTTGTACCCAAGCAGCAGGCTCCAGAGTCCACGCTCTTAAAACTTTTTCTCTATTCAAACTCTCAACAAATATATGAAAATAAAAACTAAGATGACAATCAAGATGAGATTATATATCACTTCTTTTTTAATAAAAGAAAGCACCATTTAAAAACAGATAGTGGGGCTGACATCATGACATTAATGGGTTAAGTCACTGTCCGTGATATCAGCATCCTTTATGGACACCAGTTTGAGTCCCAGCTGCTCCACTTCCAGCTCCCTGCTAATGTGCCTGGAAAAGCTGATGAAAATGGCCCAAGTGCTTGGGCAGCTGCACCTACATGAGAGACCTGGAAGAAGTCCCTGGCTCTAGGCTTTGGCCCAGTGCAATACCAGTCATTGCAGCAATTTGGGGACTGAGCCAAAAGATGGAAGATCTTTCTCTGTATTTCCCTCTCTTTCTGTAACTGTCTTTCAAATAAATAAATAATCCTTAAAAACAACCTGATAGTGAATTTCCTAACAGTAAACACAGTAGGTTTTAAGTCCTCTAGAAAGAATCACTCTGGAGGACTTCATGAATTATATAAATATAAATCAAGAATTTGACAAGAATCATGTGTCAATCATAAACTTTTATCAATAATTTATGTTAGCATCCTAAAAGTAATATTCTGGTCACTTTTCTTTCAACATCCAACACTACTTGAACATCTCTACTGAATTAAGAAAATCCCAATGAAGCCTTGTAGTTCATCAGCAATATAAAGTCTCTAAAGAGAAAATTTTCCCTGCAAGACAAATGATACATATTTAGAGACAGAGCAAAGAGAAAATTAATCACTCTGTTTCTTAATTATTTTAATGCAGGGTATGGATTATCAGTGGCAGAGAATTGGCTCCCAGATGACATGCAGATAATGTGCCAGTAAATTTAGAAGCCCAGTGTGAGAACCTTAATATATTAAAACTCAAGTAGTTATCTTCCCTTTGATAGTCAGTTAAATAGTGTGGTATTATTAAATCTATGGACAAGGCAGTATTGGCCCATGTGCTTTTTTATTTTTTTTTTTTTTTGGACAGGCAGAGTGGACAGTGAGAGAGAGACAGAGAGAAAGGTCTTCCTTTGCCATTGGTTCACCCTCCAATGGCCGCCGCGGCTGGCGCGCTGCGGCCAGCATACCGCGCTGATCCGATGGCAGGAGCCAGGTGCTTCTCCTGGTCTCCCATGGGGTGCAGGGCCCAAGCACTTGGGCCATCGTCCACTGCACTCCCTGGCCATAGCAGAGAGCTGGCCTGAAAGAGGAGCAACCGGGACAGAATCCGGCGCCCCGACCGGTACTAGAACCCAGTGTGCCGGCGCCGCAAGGCGGAGGATTAGCCTAGTGAGCCGCGGCACCGGCCGGCCCATGTGCTTTTATTACCTGTGTTTAACACTAATTCCACATGTCAAGAACAGAAGCACTGAAAGCCAAAAAACAGTAGCACCCTAGCGGATAGATAAAATTGCTTCTTTCTCTTCCCATATGTGTCTGGACTAAAGTTCTTCAGATACTTTGGTATTTCAGAGAGAAAACAGTGAGTTCCTGTACCCCACTCAAAAAAAATCTTAAACTTCTAATTTGGCCATCTAAGAGATTAGATTTTCATTTATACTACTGCCTAACAGGATAATTCAGACAAAACTTCTAAGAACAAGTAAAAGTAAGAATATTCTTAAATGAATATAAAGATTAAAAACTAACAAATTAGTAAACACCAAAAAAAAAAAAAACCTATGCGGTTAAGACATAATCATGAAAGAAAATTATCAAAAAATGCCTTTGGCGGATGTCCTAAATAGCACTCTGGCCTCAGAATCAGCCCTAAAGGCACTCGGATCTGGCTGAAAAGCCCATGAGAGTATTTCAGGCATGGAAAGCCAAGACACTCTGGCAAAAGATCTCCGTGAGTGAGATCCCAGTGGAAAGAACAGGTCTTCAAAGAGGGAGGTGCCTTTCTCTGAAGGGAGGAGAGAACCTCCACTTTGACTATGACCGTGTCTAAACAAGATAAGAGTCGGAGAACTCAAGGGGCTTCCATAGCCTTGGAAACTCATAACTGGTGCATAGGGAGATTACTGATGCCATAAACAGGAGTGTCAATTTGTAAAGTCAACAACAGGAGTCACTGTGCACTTACTCTTCATGTAGGATCTCTGTCCTTAAAGTGCTGTACACTGAGGCTTAATGCTATAACGAGTACTCAAACAGTATATTTCACTTTGTGTTTCTATGGGGGTGCAAACGATTGAAATCTTTACTTAATGTACACTAAACTGATCTTCTGTAAAAAAAAAAAAAAAAAAAAAAAGAAATTATCAATTCCCAACTTGACTCTCACTGGGATTAAACATGACAATAGGTCTGATCTGATTTCATCATCATTTAAAAAAATCATCTATTATTTTTCACTTTATGTTTCTGTGTGGGAGCAAACTGTTGAAATACTTACTTAAGGTATACTAAGCTGATCTTCTGTATATTAAGATAATCGAAAATGAATCTTGATGTGAATGGAAGGGGAGAGGGAGTGGGAAAGGGGAGGGTTGTGGGTGGGAGGGACGGTATGGGGGGGAAGCCATTGTAACCCATGAGTCGTACTTTGGAAATTTATATTCATTAAATAAAAGATAAAAAAAAATGCCTTTGGAATGCCAACATTAAAGACAGTTAGACATTGTCACTTCCATTCCTAAAAGAAGAAAAAGATGAACAAGCTGGAAATAAATCATTTTTCTTGGCTCCATCACCGAGCCAACCAACATCCTGGAGTCAGAAAACCACCCTTCACATAGATAGCATATGGCTCTAGGAAAGTATTTTCTCCCTGGAGTGTAGGTCTCCACTATGGACAATGCTCTGGGCTTGTTCCACAATGTTATCTTTTGTCCTTCCCCTGCCAAATCCATAAGGGAATATTTCTGAGTCTCCACTGTAAGAATCTGTGGAGTTTTTGAGGATAAAACATTGGGCTGCCTTAGGAAGGTATTTCTCACTCTGATTCTGGTCCATATGCATACTCCAATGATTTGTCCAAATTACTTTGAAGTCCTCCTACTGGTTTATGTCTCCAGCAGTTTCTGATGTGAGAGCCTGACTTTAGTAGGGACTTTCTGTGTTTAGTTGTCTCCAGATTTGATGACCACACTTTACATTTCAACATCAACTTTATAAGGGGTCCTCAAAAATTTGTTGACTTTCCTTTCATTCATTAGTTTTTTATTCTAAGGAAAGGAATGAGGACCTCTAAACTCTACATGTCAAAAGTCCTACTTTTGAATTATAATCCAAAGTTCAAGATAAATGTCAATAAGTGATCACTCCTATGGATTATCTGATAAGTAACTAAATGAGGGAGAACAAACTAACTTCCATACAGCAGAATTCTAAATAATTTATGTAGATATACCACCCTCTAGAAGGTGGAGCATAAATTCTCAGTTCTTAAATGCATTGTGACCCCTTTCCAATGAGGACAGTATGGAAATGAGAAAAAGTCTAACGTTAATGAGGAAACCTGGAAAACACTACTTTAGCGATTAATCAAGTTCACATTGATAGTTAAGAAGTCATGTTCATAATTGGTATCTATGATAGATTGTGATGAAAAAGGCACTGTACTTTGTACCTCTGTGCTCTTTCTCCAAAAAATAAGTAGTTAAAACAAACGAAAACTCATAACCTAATCCAATCAAGTGAACACCACCAGGCAATTCCCAGACGAAAAGCATTCCACAAAACCTGACACGCAGCTTTCAAAACTGCCAAGGTAACGAAGAGAAAGAGGAGTTTACGGAAACAAAGCATCCAAGTGCAATGAGGTAACCCAAATGGGATCTGGGAACAGAAAAAGGACATTAAGTAAAAATTAAGAACACCTGAATAATGTAGGACTTTAGTTAAGAATAATGTATCAAAATTAGTTCATTAAAGGTGAAAAATGTATCATAGTAAGTTGATAACAATAGGGGGAACTGAAAGTAGGATATATAGAAAAGGTGCACTATCTTCACAACATTTCTATGAATCTAAAACTATTCTAAAATGAAAGCTCACTTTTTACTTGCCATTAGCTACAACTATCTGTCTCTTTTATTATAGTCATCCTAGGAGGTAGGGAATGGTATTTCACTGTTTCTGATTTGCATTTCCCTGGCAGCCTGTTATGTTAAACATATTTTCATGTACGTATTGACTATAAATCTTTGGAGAAATGTCTGTTCAGATCCTTTATCTTTTTTTATTTTTATTTTACAGATAGAGTTAGATAGTGAGGGAGAGAGACAGTGAGAAAGATCTTCCTTCTGTTGGTTTACCCCCCCAAATGACCAGTACAGCCAGAGCTACACCTATCTGGAGCCAAGAGCCAGGTACTTCATCCTGATCTCCCACACAGGTGCAGGTGCCCAAGCACTTGGGCCATCCTCCACTGCCTCCCCGGGCCATAGCAGAGAGCTGGACTGGAAGAGGAGCAACCGGGACTAGAACCCAGTACCCATATGGGATGCCAGCGCCGCAGGCGGAGGATTAACCAAGTGAGCCACGGCGCCGGCCCCCCTTTATCATTTTTAAATTGGATTTTAGATTATTTGTCTTCTTTATTGAACTATAAGAATTTTTTGAATGGTCTAGATACAAGTATTTACCAAAATA